ACACACACACACACACACACACACACACACACACACACACACACACACACACACACACACACACACACACACACTTACACATACAAAGAAGGGGAGCCGTACCTTGGTCTGCGATGGCCCGGAAGATGAATTCGCGGCGCTCTGGCCGAGGCAAGTCGTTCTCGTTGGCGAAGGATGCAAACACCCTCAGCACAGCATCGCGGTGGGACTCCTGCCAGAGACACGAGAAGGTGGGTGCGTGTGTGTTGGGGGGGGGGGGAAGCGATAAAGGAAGAGGTCAGTGATTGAGTGTTCACGGTGCAGAAGCCACACAATAGCAGGGTGCATTGAATACAGTATAAGGGGGGGGGGGCACACGAAGGCGGATGCAGACAGACAGACAGACAGACAGACAGACAGACAGACAGACAGACAGACACACACACACACACACAACACACACACACACACACACACGCGCACACATACAGACACGCACACACACACACAGACACACGCGCACACACAGACAGACACGCACACACGTACACAAAACAAACCTCCAGGACGAGGCAGCGGCCGTCGTTCAGGAGCTGCTCGCATAGTGGGATCTGGTTGGGACCGAGCTGGCGAACGAGAGAGGAGAACACAGACAACTCGTGCTCCACCTCTGCAAACCGCGCGATAATGTCCTCGTAGCGATCAATGTCCTCGTCCAAGTTGTGGCCCAGGCGCGATGACAGATGCTTCAAGCTTGCGTGCAGCACTGCCAGCGATGCTGGGCTCGCCTCTTCCTTCACCTCATCTGCCAGGTGTGAGAGCATGGGTGTGAGTGCATAGGTGTGAGTGCATAGGCGTGAGTGCACGAAAGGTAGTGAACAAGCAAGCGCGTGTGTGCATACTCGCCCATGTACGCTTGCGAGCGCATGTTCACGAAGCGTTGTGAATTTGGAGTATATAGGCCCGTCGAAAACACACAAGCAAGCAAGCAGCACACGTTGCAGCTCAAGTTCTCACCTTGCAGTCGTGCGTATACTTCTTCAAGCAGGCTGGGAAACAACTGGCGGGCAAGGTCCTGCATGGTGATGTTCTCCAGATACGTCAGCGCGCCCTCTGCCTCTGCTGTCACGTCAAACAGCAGGCGTTGCTGGCTCACGGGCACGGGGAGCGCATCACGCCACAGCGCGTGCCACAGGTTCTTTGGATCGCGCATGCGCTCGCTCAGTCCGGTCTCCCCTGCAGCCACACGTCGCAGCCATAAGGCACACAACCAGGTTAGGGAAGGGCGAGAATTGCAAGCATCGCAGATCCGAAGCGTGCAAGCGAGTGTGTGCCTGAGTGTGTGCCTGAGTGTGTGCGTACGTGCGTGTGCGTGTGCGTGTGTGCACGCATGCATGTGTTCGTGGGTGTGTGCTTCTCACCAGTTTCCTCGTCCTTGACCCAGTCCTTGGGAGAATGCCACCTGATAATGAGTGCACACAGGAGTTGTTGCACACCAGACCATAAGATAACCGATACAAGACCCACAATAGCCTGCAAAATACACTAGACTACACGACACACACATGCACAACGAACACACACTTCACTACTCACACATACTACACGACACACACACACATGCACACACTACAGCACACACACACACACACACACACACACACACACACACAGAGCACGAACACCGTGAGCGTCACTGCCTCCCCTCCCCTCCCCCCTTCATTGCGACATCACATCTCACCGGATGAAATCGCCGAGCTTGCACCCTGGATTGGCCGCCTTGAACGCCTCCATATCCGATCGAAGCGACGTGCTCTGATTTGCACCGGCAGCGGTGGCGGTCATGAAGGGCATTCGAACGCATGAGTGGGGTGCGGTGCGGTGCGTGCGGAAATATGAGCTGGTGTAATGGTCCAAAAGACCGGGAACGTGTTGAAAAGGTCACACGTGTGAAAGGATATCGCTGCAGGCGCGATGTTCGAGAGTGTGATGCAATTCAATGTGCACATGCTTGCTCACCTGCATCTGTGCACGCAGCGCTGCTGCTTGTTCAGAATCGCCCATCTGTGATCCATCACGCCTTCAGGGTGAGCATGGTGCTGTATCGTGAAGCAGGGCAGGTTCTCGGGCGCGGAAACGGCCACAGTCCATTCACCCAAGCACCGGCAGATTACAGCATGCACAACCCAGAAGCATGCACAAAAGCAGGTGAAACACACACACACACACACAAAATGGATACGCACACACACACGCACACACAGAGAGACAGACAGAGACACACACAGAGACACACACACAAACACAAGCGCACCCATGTACGCACCTCCGCCATCTGCGCCAGCTGTCGTGTCACCATATCCTCTGTGAGCGGTCCAGGCTCCTGTGTCCGCGGAATGTTCAGCGGCGCGTCGCTGTCAAGCAGCACCAACGTTGGGTGCACCTGACCGTGGGTGTGTGCGAGGGTGTGTGGGTATGCGTGAATATGCATGCGTGTGCGTGTGTTTGTGTGAGCAGGTGTGTGTGTGCGCGTGTGCTTGGTTGTGGCTGAGTATCAGAACAAGCCAACACCACGCGTTCACGACACTGCTGATACAACACAGGTGGTTGTCACACCTCCTTGACACCGAGCGGTTTCGCCATCGTTTCCTCTCGCGCAGCGACTGTGGTGACGCAATAATTAATGATCATGAGGTGAAGGGATGAAGATGTCGTGAGCCGCCGTGACCACTGATGCACAGCCACTCGTCTCTCACTCTCTCTTACAAACACCCACACACGCAAACAGCGTACATTGCTCTGGGTTTTCTGCTGCGCGACGCTTGAGGTCTTGCAGTCGCTTCTTCACACCTTCCTCGTCCTCCGGACACACGAAAAACTCGTCATCATCACCATCATCATCATCATCGTCGTCGTCGTCGTCGTCGTCGTGGTTGTGGTTGTGGTGGTCGTCTCTGCCACCACCCCCTTCGCGTTTGCTCGCGCCTTGGTCAGTGCTGTGTGCATGTGTAAAACGGCGGACGCAAGTAGCGAATGAAGCATGGAAGTGAGTGAGTGAGTGTGTGTGTGTGTGAGTGAGTGAGTGAGTGAGTGAGTGAGTGAGTGTGTGTGTGTGTGTGAGTGCGTGAGTGAGTGAGTGAGTGAGTGAGTGAGTGAGTGAGTGTGTGTGTGTGTGAGTGTGCGTGCGTGAGAACCACACACACGAACACACGCACACACACACACGAACACACACACACACAAACAAACAAACAAACAAACAAACAAACACACGCACCCACACGCACACACGCACACAGACAGATAGACAGACAGACAGACACATAAATCGGTTGTTTGCATGGGCCGAGGGCTTACGTTTCGCTGGAGCGCGACGCTTGTCTGTCTTTCTTGCTGCAGTGGTGCAAACACGTGGGAGAGGTGCCTGTCGTGAGTGCACTCCAGCAGCCAGCACCAACGTACTCCGTTTCTTACATCATCCGCCAACACGTGGTTGGATACAAACACCGACAAGCAAGCAAGGCCCCACAGATTGCGTAACTACGCGCGCGGGTATGTGTGTGCGCAACGCACCGCTTGATGCAGGTGTTGATGAGCTCCAGTTTCTGCTGCAGAAGACAGGACGTCATGTCCGGCGCCGCGCGATTTGGCATTCGCGGCAGCGGCTTGAGGTTCTCCCAGTGCCACCTGCAACGCACGCATGAATGGGTCGTGAATATGGATGATGGGTGAGTTTGAAGCATTGCACGCCACGCAAACCCATCAAGCCATCAACTGTCCCGCTCACGACGCACGAGGTACAACACACACACACACAGACACGCACCTGATTTCCATGACAAACTCGCTCCACAGGGTGGCGACAGACTCCAGGCCGCCGCTGTACGTGTCAACACAGGCCATGTACGTGGCGAGACGGTGCAACAGGCCTTGCTTCGGTGCCGTCTTGCACCGGTCCATCAGCCACGCGGCTGCGTGCTTCTCGCTCCAGTCATCCTGGTGGATGAACATGTGCCCCAGAATGTCATCAATCTCTTTACTCTCCAGCGCCGACCCATCACCGCTGTCGGAGGTGCGCGCTGTCCTCACGTGTCGCACCGTCTGCCCGACGACTGTACCGAACCGTGCACCGAGCGTTCGCCCAGCCTGCATCGGGGTGGGTGATCGTGGCCGCAGTTGTGATTGGGTGGTTGTGATTGTGAGTGAGACGATGAGCGTGCATGAACGTGTGAACGAGTGCGTGTATGTTCGTCGGCGAATGCATGCATGCATGCATGTGTGTGTGTGCACATTTCTGTACCTTGACGACGTCGTCTGCGATACCGCTGCCCGGCTGCGGTTTTGTCAGCGCGCGAAGTGCGTTGCGCCCCAGATCAGGCGTGTCCTCATCCTGTTGAAGGAGATGTGAGGCCGTGGGAGGGTGTTGGTGGTGCGTATGTGTTTGCATGAGAGAATGGGGTGATTGAGAAGAAGGTTCATGGGAACTGAACAGAGACAGACAAACAGACAGACACACGCACACCTGCACCCGCACTCAACGCACAAGCTATCATGTACACACCCACACCCGCACCCACACGTACGCACACCCATACCCCCATATGCACTGCACCTCGTCGACGTATGCGCTTGATCCAAGGAGTTCTTTGAAGGTTGCGGTGGTGTGACAGAGCTCCATGAAGTTGCGCAACATGCGTTCGAGCTTGCATCGCGGGCGCTTCTTGCGTCGCTCCACAGAGAGCCACCACGAGGGCGCGGTTGTTGGGGTCAGCTCAGAGTGGAGGCTGTCGTCCAGCAGCACGTCTTCGCGAAAGTGCGGCCACGCACACGCCAAATACAGGCAGCTGATGGCACCACGCAACCACAAGGAACGCACGTCAACGATGCGAGTTCGGCGAAACACGGCAGCAGAAATACACAGCATGTCCAACAATAGGCTCACACAGACACACACACACAGACACACACACACACACAGACAGACAGACAGACAGACAGACACACATACAGACACACACACCCAACATCCAACACGACGCATTTGCGACTGACTCGAGGGATTCGCCGAGAGCGCCGACGGGAAGGCGGACGGGGGCGTGGTAGCGCTGCTCCGCTGGTTTGCCCTCGATGCTGCCGGGTGACGACCTGCCATCGCAGTTGGAGCGGGACATGGCGTGTGGTGTGTGAGTGAGTTTTGTGTGTGTGTGTGTGTGGTGTGTGCATTTGTGTGTGTGTGTGTGTCTGTCCGTCGAGTCGACATGCAGTTGTACACGCGTTCAAACGCATGCACGCACACACACACACATACACGCACACACACATGTACACGTACACACACGCAAACACATTCACACACACACATACAGAATCCCCACCTCGCCCAGTCGAGCATCCAGTTGCGGACGCTGTATGTGAACTTGACGCTGACGTATGCCTTGACGTGCGAGGTGAGGTGGGTCAGCTTGGAGTGGAAGAGGGTGAGTAGGCCTTGGATGTGTGCGTTCGCCTTCGGCACCACAGGCAGCTGTACGCCATCATATGTGATGCTCCACCCAAGACCTGCGCAGTGCCCGAAAAACTGCTTCGACCGCGCCTCAAACACCTACAGCAGCCGCGTGTACGGGTTGTTTGCGCATGTGAGTGTGTGTTTATGTGTGTGCACGTGTGCATGTGAGTGATTGTGTGTGCGCTATGTGTGTGTGTGCTATGTGTGTGTGTCATCTGTGTGTGTGTGCTATGTGTCATCTGTGTGTGTGTGTGTGTGTGTGTGTGTGTGTGTGTGTGTGTGTGTGTGTGTGTGTGTGTGTGTGTGTGTGTGTGTGTGTGTGTGTGTGTGTGCTATGTCGAAGCGAAGCCGACAGGAAATTCCTCGCCACGGCAGGGCAGACACAAGCAGCAATGGTCAGGCCTGTGCACCCTCACTTGTGTGAAGACGGGAATGTCCATGCCAACATTTGCTGCTGCCGTCACCAGGGCACTCAGCAGCATCTTCGATTCAGACACCGAAATCTGCCACATGTGTGCACATGTGTGCACATGCATGTGAATATGCACGCATGGCAGCAGGGGGCACTCAATACGTTCCTTGCAAACCACCTGAAAGCACAGACTGTGTATGCTCGCTCCAGTGCAAAACTAAGTACGCCTCACCTTGTCTCCGTATGTTGTTTCTGCCGGCTCCAACACGACAAACTCCGGGATGCCAAGCCTGTCAAAGACACACCATGCAGTGAGACAGTTCGGAGGGAGCAGCATTAGCAGTAAATATGTATGTTCACACACACCCACACACACCCACCCACACACCCACCCACCCACCCACACAGATACACGCACACACACACACACACACACACACACACACACACACACACACGCACACGCACACGCACATTTCACCACCACCGCCAACCTTGCTTGGATGACATGAGCATCTGGATCAAAGTCAAAGTTTGTGGCCAGCGCCCACCGCATCACACCAGGCGCCTCTCCTGCACACGTGTATCGTGCGTGTTCGTAGAAGTTGAAGTTGTTGTGAGCGCACATACAGAATTACCCTCCTCCACCCTCACTCACCCATCAAGCAGAGAAACCGTGGTCTACGAGTGAGTGATAGTTGGTGCAGACCGTGGAAGGAGGCATCGAGTCGACGCAGCATCTCGCTGGAGACGGGGCGCGGTGCTGCTCGTGCTGTTGTCTTGAACGACACGCGGTACTTGCGCCCGGCCAGCTTGGCCTCAATCGGCTCCGTCGCACGCACATTGTGCGGCTGGCAACCAAGCAAGCAAACCAAACAAGCATGGATGAGAGGAGAAAGAACACAAGCGCAGTCAGCGACGAGCAGCTCCGATGAATCGTGCGTGCCCATGTGCATGCGTGCATGCGAGCGAGCGATCAAGCAAGGTGTTCTGTTCACGTGTCCGTGTGCGGAGGCGTCCGAGCACATGCTCTTCCATGTGTCTGTGTGTGGGAAGAATGAATGAACCCCGCACCTTGACGGCCTTTGAGTCGAGAGTGTGCAGCTTCCACGCACGAAAGGCGCGCTCAAACTCGGCTGTCACCCTGGACGCGGCGGAGGTGGTTGGTTGGTGGGTTTGGTTGGTGTTGGTGTTGGTGGTTTGGAGAGGTGAGATGACAGATCCAATATGGGTGCACTCGGGAATGACCGCAAGGAGGAGAGCTCTTGGATGTGTGAACACTTGTGGCATGAGGACACACACACCCTGTTTGAGCTGGTCAAAGTAACCAAAGGGGTGGTGATCCATATGTGCAAGACAGTCAACATGGCACACCCACTCACTTCTCCCAGTCCGTGGCGGTGGAGAAGTCCACAATCTCAAATACGTTGTGCTGCACAGAACACAGATGCCATGCATCGAGTTGTATGTATGTGAGTGTGAGCGTTATGAGTGTGCGTTGTGCGCGTGTGTGCGTTGTGTGCGTTATGAGATGCATTGCCAAGTCACAGACAGACAGACAGACAGACAGACAGACAGACAGACAGACAGACAGACAGACAGACAGACAGACAGACAGACAGACAGGCAGACAGACATACACAGCTCCGTGATCACCACCACAGCATCACGAGGTGCTGTCCAACGCACCATATCTGTTTCATCGTGGCCTTCGTGGTCACGGTCCTCTTCGCTTGCACGCCGCAAGGACGTCATGACGCCCTCAAAGCAACGCAAACCGCGTCAGGCAAGAGAAGCAAGGCGAGCTGCTCAAGAAGCGTTGAGTTGGTTGCGGTGGGGGTGTTGTTGATATCCGTTGTTGGGAGTGTGCTGACTCATCAATCATCAGAGACAGAGGGAGGAGCTGCAAGGACACGAAGCAACACAGCATCAGACTTGTTGATGTTGATGATGTTGTTGATGCGAAGCGCACACACATCATCAAAGGTCATCATCACACCCACACCAACCAATCACCCACACATCAACTGCAGCAAGAAGCAGTGAAGTGCAGCAAGCAAGAAGCAAGCAAGCGGGAGGTGTGTGTGTGTGATCGCGGTGCATTCACTGTGCCCGTTGCTGCTGCTGCATTGTTACTGACAATAACACGTGCTTGGCATTGACAGTCAGTTCACGTGCTTGCTTGCTTGCTTGAGTGCAGTCCTTTGTTCAGCATGCGCTTGTGCCGTGTGGGGGTTGGGGTGTGTGTGTTGGAGGGGGGGGGGGTGTTGCTTGAGTGCGTGGGCGCGTGCCATCTTTGCCCACATGATTACTGCAGAGCGGCCAAAGCAACATCATGTCACACTGATACACACTGATACACACACATACTCACACGCTCACACACACACACACACACACACATTCTCATACACTCATGCACACACACTCTATCTCACACAGCCCATCAGATCTCATCTCACACCGCACCCTACAACATACATAAACACGTCTCCACACTAGGCGCGCGGAGCGGCTGACCCGTGAAGATGAGGAGGGGTTTAGGCGAGAGCAGCACGCCTGGTCCACGCAATGGAGATGACGGGTCGAATGCTGGGCACAACGAACACGGATGGCACATGCGCGGGGAACTAGAAACACACAGATACAACCGAGCCGGCACTGCCGCGGTGGGAAGCGAGGGTAGCGATGACAAGCAGGGAAACGGTGGTTGGTGGCGGGTGGTTGGCCAGCAGACCATGACCATCCTGTGGAAGAACCGCCTGCTCAAGTTGAGAAAGTGGAAGTCGACCCTTGTAGGCATGGTGATCCCAACCGTCATCTTCTGCTTGCTCCTCATCATCCGCACCCAGCTTCCCGTGAGCACCGAGGCTGCAGGTACGACGTCAAGTGCGCGAATGTGTGCGTGCGTGCGTGTGTGTGCGCGCGCGCGTGTGTGGGTGTGTGCGTTTTTGCGTATGCGTATGTGTGGCTATGCGTGCGTGTGTTTGCGTGTATATGTGTCCGTGTGTGTGTTTGTGTGCGCATTTGTGTCTTGGTTTGCTTTCCCTGATCATCTTCATGTCTTCTTTCTCTTGTCACGCGCCTCGCATCGACCGTCCATGTGCACCGTTGTCCCTCAGACCAACACCCATTCTCACCCATACACCCCGTTGTCCCTCCCTCACTCTCACTCTCACTCGCATCCCCCCCCCACACACGCACACACACATATCCACACGCACACACACACATATACACGCACACGCACACACGCACACACACGCACACGCACACACGCACACGCACACACACGCACACACACACACATATCCATGCGCATGTGTGCAGTGTCGAGTCCACCGCTTGCATTCCCGTCTGCGGGCATCGCCGTGTTCATGCAGTCGCAGCTGTGCAACGGTCTGTATGATCTGGCACCAGACATTGGCGCAGACATCATTGCGCCGAGCCTCATTCGCGAGCTGCACCACAACCTCGCTCGCGAAGGCGTCTCCGTCACGAGTGCCGAGCACATGATGGTCGACTTGCTCGACGGTGCCATGCATGTGGACGCGGCCATGCACAACGCCACCACCATCCCTGCCGTGCCCGCACGCTGTATCGCGCTGTTCAGGCGCCTCACCAACACCACTGCCTCGCAAGGCGAGCGAACCGTACGGGACGGACAAGAGGCAGCCGCGTGCTACTGCTCGCTCACGTCGTCGCCGGCAGCACGGCATGCTGTCACGCACTCCATCTCAGGCGTTGTGGAAGCGTTCATCACCAGCACCAACGACTCCACCGCGGCCATCATCGACACCATTCGCAACCGCACCGGCGTCACCCTCTCCCCTGACGATGCAGACACACTCAATGCCATGCGCAGGGCGGTTGTCCCTTTGCTCACGGACCCGCGCGTGGAGGAAGTGCTGTTTGGCGGCATGGATGTTATCACCGCGGCACAATATCTCATGTGCCCCGTCGTCTCAGAGTGGTCCCTGCACAGACAGGCTGATCCAGAGCAGAACGAGGCCGCAACGGCTTCGCAAGTGCGTGCGTGTGTTTGTGTGCGTGTATGTGTGTGTGTGTGTTTGGCTACCTTGTGTGCGTGCGTGCATGCATGCATTTTGCACTGTGTAGGCTAGCCCTAATGCAAAGTTTGAGTTGCTGCCATCTCGTCACCCTCACACACACACACACCCACCCACACACACACACACACACACACACACACACACACACACACACACCCTCTCCTCATCCCCTCTTCCCCGCGCCCCATTCATTGTTCGGCCAGACATCGCTGGTGAAGCTCGAGGAAGTGTTTGGCGGCTCCAAGATCTTCTACGCGCCAGACACAAACCAGACGCGCCGCATCGTCCAGGAGATGAATCGTACATTCCAGGCCCTGGGCGCCGCTGTCGACACCCTCAAGTGCACGGCCACTCTCCTGTCCGAGATGCAGTCGGATCAGCAGGACCACCAGCCATCAAGTGAGCACTCCCATGACTGCTTTGTTGGTGGTGTTGGTGGTGTTGGTGGTGTTGGTGGTGTTGGTGGTGTTGGTGGTGTTGCTGGTGTTGCTGGTGTTGGTGGTGTGGCTGGTGTGACTGGAGTTGTGACCATGTGGGTTGTCTTTGGTGTGTATGGTTGTGCGCGTGCGTTGGTGCGAGTCGCTGTTGCATGCGCCTGGTGTAACATAACCATGTAATGTGCACACTTGCATGCATGCAAGCATTTGAAAATACACTGCCTGTGTCTCCCAACATCTTCCACTCCTCACCCCACCCCCACCGTCTACATTATCTCCCTCTTTGTGCCGCAGGCGGTGACCATGGCATGCTGATAGAGCGGTGGGAGCACATTGAGGGCAACGAACTCCGCAAGCTGTATGCTGATCCGCGCTACCCGTCGCGTCCAGACCAGCGGTTCCTCCTCACGTCTCGCGTCTTTTCCTCACCCTTTGACGTCGCCGACAACTTTGGCCAGCGCATTAGGTGTGTGCGTGCGTGCATGCGTGTATGCGTGTGTGCGTGTATGGGTGTGCGTGCGTGCATGCGTGTATGCGTGTGTGCGTGTGTGCAGCACCTACATTTGCGTGTGCAGCACCTACATTTGCGTGTGCAGCACCTACATTTGCATGTGTGAGCACCTACATTTGCGTGTGTGCAGCACCTACACCTGCGTGCGAGTTGTTTGCGACCATGTTAGTCATACCAACCACCACGCCCAACTCAACTGGTTGCACTCACATTCACTGGTCGACTGCCGGCCAACTGGTTACACCGCACAGGGGCGTGTTTACGGCGCCTGCGAGTGGCGCGTACACGTTTTGGATCGCAGGCGACGACCACTGCGAGCTCTTCCTCAGCACAGACGAGACGCGCGCACACGTGCGCAAGATTGCTGCCCGCTACGGCTCCAACTTCCCGTGGGAGTGGCACCGCGTGGCCACGCAACAGTCAGCGCCCATTGTCCTAGAAGAAGGCCGTTCGTACTACATCGAGGCGGTAGGCAAGGAGCGCACTGGCCGCGATCACGTCGCTGTTGCGGTGCAGGTGCCCTCGCCATGTGCCAAGAATGTCACGCTCTGCAGACACACATATGTTCCGCGCAACGGCGAGGATGCCATGCCGCTGGATGGCGTCATGTCGCTGCCAGCACCGCTCTTCAACAACGGCACCGCCAACGTGACGTCGGCTCCACTTGTGCCAGACCTGCGCGAGCTCGCGTTCATGACCGTTCATGACCCATTCGTGCCCTTCTCAAGCACCACGGAGATGGTCAAGGAGGCGATGCCCTCCCGGCGACTCAGCGACGTACTGGCTGCAATCGAATTCCACAACATGGACGACAACATGATGCGCACCACCACCACCACCGCACTCCCGTCCAACAACAGACAGCGAGCAAATAACGACGTTTCTTCCCGCGGCAGTGGCCCACGTACCGCCGCTGCTGCTGTTGGTGGTGATGCGTACGGCAATGTGCCGATGCCTGAGCAGCTTCACTACTCAATCCGCATGAACCCCGTGAAGATCCCAGCGACCAAGACGGGATCGCGCCACGTCACCTCCTCATATGGGCAGTTCACCTGGTGGCTCTACTACTACTCGGGCTTTGCCATGGTCCAGGTAACCAGGGACAGAGACAATGGTGTTGTGTGTTGTGACGTCCATGTTGCTACTTGCATGTTGCGGCTTGTGTGTTGGTTCGTGCGTTGTTGCTTCTTGCTTGATATTTCGTGTGCGATGGTTAGTGTGCGGTGTGCGCACACTGTTTGTGCTGAAGGGGTGAATCACCCAGAAGCTGCAATGTGATGGTATTGAGCCCCTCTTTTCTCATCCCCGCCTTTATTTGCGTCGCGGGCAGGATATGGTGGATCGCGCTTTCACCAATTTGCATGCGGTGCGTTGGTTTCTGCTGCTGCGATGTGCTTATGTTTGTGCTTCTTGCGAGCTCACGGTTGCGGAATGGGTTTGTCCAAGCTGCTTGCTCTACTCGTTTAACACACAATGTGTTCAGCGTTGCGCACGCTCTCTCTCTCTCTCAATCACATGCACACACATGCACACATGCACACACATGCACACACACATGCACTCACATGCACACACACATGCACTCACATGCACACACACATGCACACACACACATGTACATGCACACGTGCACTCACATGCCACACAACACGTTGCGCAGGAGCGCGACACGGCCACGGAGCTGCCTGTGTTTGGGCAGCGGTTCCCCGTGCCGGCGTATGCAGGCGACGAGTTCACACGCGGCCTGGCACCAGTCCTTCCGCTCTTCATGACCATCTCCCTCGTGTACATTGTCAGCATCACCGTCAAGTCGATTGTGTACGAGAAGGAGCTGCGACTCAAGGAGATGATGCGCATCATGGGGATGTACACGGGGGTGCACTGGCTGGCGTGGACAATCACGTGTGTGCTCGAGACGCTGCCATCCGTCTTCATCATCACCATGTTGCTGTGCCAGGGAGACGTCTTGCGCAACAGCAACGAGCTGATTGTGTTCCTCCTCCTGGAAGCGTTTGTTCTCGCCTCTGTGATGCTCTCCTTCCTCATCAGCTGTTTCTTTTCCCGCGCAAAGATTGCTGCGGCGTGCGGCGGCATCGTCTACTTCAGTTTGTGCGTGAACTTGCTTGTTTTGCTCGCTGCGAGCGTTGCTGTTTGCGCCCGCTTGCATTTGATGTTCATTGCAGTCGCCGGTCTTGCTTTCCCTGTCGCGTGAACCGTGCACCTCTTTCCTGCCACTGCTCTCACTCACACACTGCTCTCACTCACACACACACGCACACACGCACACACACACATACACACGCATACACACACGCACGCACACACACATACACACGCATACACACACGCACGCACACACACATACACACACACGCACACACGCATACACACACACACACACATGCACGCACGCACATACATACAAACACACACACATAAACACATATTACAGCTACGTTCCGTTTGTAGCGGTTGCGCTGAACGCGGGCGACATGTCGGTGATGCAGAAGGCCGGTGTGTCGCTGATGAGCACAACTGCCCTGGGCATTGCCAGCCAGTACCTTGCGTACTGGGAAGAAGTTGGCGTGGGCCTGCAGGTGCGTCCGTCCCCTCACGTGCATGTGTTGTGTGCGTGCGTGTGTGTTTGAGGGAGAGAGAGTATGTGTTGTGTACGTGTACGTGTACGTGTGTGTATGCGTGCGTGTGCGGATTTGATTGTCTGGCATTCGTTTAGGATAAACGTGTGTGCTTGTATGTTCCTTTTCATTCAACCATCATCTCCACCGGCATTATCACCATTCCAGTGGTCCAATCTGTTTGTTGGGATGAGCCCCTGCGATGGCTTCAGCGCGGGCGCCGCCATTGTCATGCTGCTGCTTGACGGCCTCATTTATCTCCTCCTCACTCTCTATCTGGAGCAAGTCATCCCGGGCCAGTTTGGCGTGCCCAAGCACCCGCTCTTCTTTCTCAAGCCGCTGGCCACAGGCGTGCGGCGCTGCTGTCGCTATTGCTGCTGTTGTCTGCAAGGGAGGGGCCACCACCCGCTCAGCGTGTCTGCAGGTGATGTGGTTGACATTGAGCTCGCATCTGCTCGCTCCCGCAGTCACAGCTTCGCAGCGCCAACTCCAACAGCATCAGTAGCAACAGCAACAGCAACTTCTTCAACAGCAGCAACAATACCACCAAGCTCAGGGAGTGCCGTGCCATCGGCGCATCCATACACGCCCTCCGCACGAGCAACACCTTCCTCTGCCTTCCTGTCCAGCGTGGCCGCGGTTGGCGCCAGCAGCGGCAGTGACAGCGGAGTGGTACTTGCAACGCCTCACTTGCACACAACAACAGCAGCAGCAAGTGCTGATGGTGCTGACGAGCGCGGTGTTGTCATCAACCACATGTCAAAGGTGCGCATATTGTGTGTGTGTGTGTGCGTTTTGTGTGCGTGCGTGCGTGCACGTTTATGTGCGTGCATGTGTTTTGTGTGCACGTGTGTGTTTTGTGTGCGCGTGTGTGTGTTTTTGTGTGACTGCACTTTCATGCGTGTCTCTGCAAGCATGCCGACATGTGTGTATGTGGGTATCTGTTATGTCTGCCCCTTGATGTCCATACTTTTGGGTGTGCTGCTGTTGAATCACACCGGCCTCCCATGCCCGCGTTGTCACCGCTGCCTCCACTTGTGATGTGTAGGATTACAACGACGATGCGTGGTGGCTGCTGTGTGGCATTGATCGTCTCCTCGGGTTGCAGCGCAAGCCACCAGCCGTCGCCGACCTTTCCCTGCGCATGCCTTTTGGGCAGGTCACGAGTCTCCTAGGTAGTAACGGCGCCGGCAAGTCCACCACGCTCTCCATTCTGTGCGGTCTCTTCCCACAGACGTCCGGCTTGGTTCGCGTGCACGGCTACGACACGCGCGTGGACATGGACGCCGCACGCAAGCACCTGGGCGTGTGTCTGCAGTACAACGCCCTGTTTGACAGCCTGACGGTACGGGAACACGTCCTCTTCTGCGCACGAATTCGCCGTGGCCGTCGCGGTGGTCTGGACTCTGCACTCGACGAGACCATGCACCTCATAAAGGTGCGTGCATGGGGAGAGCGGCTGTGTATGTGGGGATTGTGGTATGTGTGTGTGTGTGTGTGTGCACGCGGGCATGTGTGTTTGTGGATTGATTGCACTTGGACGTGCGTACGTCACGCACGCACGCATAGCTCTTCTTGTACTCTATGCTTTCAATTGCTGGGTATTGACCCACACCCACTGCCACTGCCTGGTTCTCATGACTCTTTGTGTGTGTGTGTGTGTGTGTGTGTGTGTGTGTGTGTGTGTGTGTGTGTGTGTGTGTGTGTGTGTGTGTGTGTGTGTGTGTGTGCAGGCGCTGGGTCTCATGCCGTACTTCGACACCGAATGCCACCATCTCAGTGGCGGGAACAAGCGCAAGCTCAGCGTTGCTCTTGCGTTTGTGTGTTCACCTGACGTCGTCATCCTTGACGAACCAACAGCGGTGAGTTTGCGTCTGTTCGTGGTTGTGTGTATCGTGGACTGTCGGCGTTTTGCGTGTTGTCTTGTGCGCATGCTGCTGATATTCGCAACAAGTAGTGTCACACTTTGCCTTCAGTCGCACTCACATGCCCATCTCCCATCTTTGCCACCCTCGTCTTCGTCTCCCCACCTCAAACAACAGGGCATGGACCCATCTGCCCGGCGAGCAACGTGGAATCTCATTCTCCAGAAACGAAAGGTTGCAATGCTTGAGGGTTTCTTGTTTTTCTTGTTGTTGTTGTTGTCCTCGTCGTGTGTGCGATGTTCTGCTCCGGTTATCTCGCTCAAGCACAGTATGTACACGTGAACTTGTGTTCTTTGACATGTTCTTGTGTGTGGGTTGTGTCGTCTCATGTCACACATTTTCTTTGCTTTGGTGATGTTTGTCTGCTTCTTGGCTACAGACTTGTTGTATTATTCTGACGACCCATCACTTGGTAAGTGCCGGCCACATTCACTTACATACTTGACTGCATGGTTTTAAGGGCCCTGTCGTAGACACTCCATGCCACCCCCTCCACACACACACACACACACACACACACACACACACACACACACACACACACACACACACACACACACACACACACACACACACACACGCACGCACGCACGCACGCACGCACGCACGCACGCACGCACGCACACACACACACACACACACACACACACACACACACACACACACACACACACACACACACACACACACACACACACACGCACGCACGCACGCACGCACGCACGCACGCACACACACACACACACACACACACACACACACACTGTCTCTTACCACAACCACATCACACAAACGAATAACACGCAGGATGAGGCGGATCTGCTGTCGGATTCCGTTGCCATTATGAAGGATGGCGAACTGCGTGCACACGGGAGCCCCTTTGACCTAAAGCAGCAGCACGGCCTCGGGTACACGCTCACGCTCAGTTTGACCCCCGCAGCAGCCGGCTCGCCAGCCACGCTCGATACACTGACACGTATGGTGTCATCGGCTGTTCCTGGCGCTGCGCCAGGCTACAGCTCGCAAACAGAGGCCACGTTTGTGCTTCCGCCAGAACAGGTGTCTTTGTTTCCTCCACTGTTTGCACAGCTGGAGCAAGGCGGCAAGCAATTGGGCGTGGAAGCGTTCGGCGTCTCTGCCAGCAAGTTGGAGGACGTGTTTCTTGAGGTGACGGGTCGCACATTCAGCCGTCACCCTTCTGCCTCCTCTTCGTCCACTGCTCCTCCTGCTGGTGCTCCGAGTGTTCTTCGTCATCATCGTGGTGATGGTGATGGTGATGGTGATGGGGATTCGGTTTTCTTGGCTTCAGCACCACAGCACGATCATCAACATCAGCTGCAATCCGCGAGCAGCAGACACCGCAGTCGCATTAGCAGCACCACCAGCGGCAAAACAGCTGGCGCTCGTCGAGGCATTGATGGTCGGGACGCCACGCTCGCATACAGCACCATGCTACACACCCCGACTCCAAGCATTGGTGGCGCCAGCGTGGGTGCTGCTGAAATGCTTGCGGAGGACGACGAGGAGATTGAGAGCGTGGCCGAGCAACTGCAGATGCTTGAATCCCTCGACGGCTCAACCACGGTCAGCACCAGCAGTCTTCGCCGCCTCCGCCGCTACCAGCGTCATCATGATCGTCATGATCGTCATCATGATTACCGCTACGGCGCTGCCAGTGATGGCGATGCTGTTGCTGCTGACGATGGTGGTGGTGACGACGACGGGGCTGACGTGGAGAGTGCGCAATCACCGCTGCTCATGTCTGTGGACGGCATCGCAGGCAACACGAGTGATGCCGACACAGGTGCTGCTGGCGTTCGCACAAGAAGCACGCACGCATCCACACACGCACATGCACGTGTACACGGCGACAGCGCTGCCAGTGGTCACGGCCACTTTCAGACGAGGGGATTCAAGCGCCGTTTTAGCGCCGGCATGCGATCTGGCCTTTCGAGCATCGATGGCATCGTGGCGCCCGTTGGCGCTTGGTGCTTGAGGACGGGGGTGGTGTTGAAGGTGCTTCTGCGCAAGCGCGCGCAGCACACGCTTCGCGACATCAAAGCGTTCATCTCCATGGTCATCTTGCCGGTTGGCCTCATCTGCCTGGCCATGCTCGTCGCATCACGTGCGTAGCCTTCCTGTGATGCGTGCATGCGTGTGTGTGCATGAAAGAGTGCGCTTGTTTGTGCGTGAAAGAGTACGTTTGTGTGTACGAGTACGTTTGCTTGTGTGTGTGTGTGTGTGTGTGTGTGCGTGAAAGAATGTGCTTGTTTGTGCGTGTAAGAGTACGTTTGCTTGTGTACTTGTAATTTGTCAATTTTTGTTTGTTGCGCGAGCGATGCATGTCGGTGCTGTGCAAGCAGTACCCACGCACGCAACTTCGATCCCTTCCCGTTGTGCCTTCGTTGCTTGTGCCCATTCACTTTACAATGAGCTTCCTGTTCGTCATCACTTCCCACTTTCCGCTTTCCACCTCTCACGCCCCCCTCTCTTCCCACAACGCCGGACCGCCCTTACCACACAGGTGTGGAGGACACAAGCAACTTCCCTGCGCTGGAGCTGAGCCCAAACATGTTCAGCGGTGAATGCTTCTCGGGTCAGGGCGTCACCCCTGTCTACAGCTACGCCAACAACACACAAGGCGCTGACTTGATCGCTGCCATCGAGACGTGCCCGGCAACCACAACCCCCGGCCTGGACTGCGGAACAGAGCGCACGGAGTTTAACTCGCTCCACGACGACCCATCCTTTGTTTCGCCAGGATCATCGTCGAAGGAGTCTCGGTGTGACGGCGAGTGCCACCCACGCAACCTCACCTCGTTTCTCCTCATGCACAGCAGCGACGGGCTTGTGTCGCAGCGGCACGGTGCCGCCACCGTCGATCTGCAGACCAACACTGCACACACGGGCGCAGAGTTTGGCTCGTCTCAACGCGCATCATCATCGTCGGCGTCGTCATCATCGTCGTCTGCAACAGCTTCCGGACCCTGGCATGGGATGTTTGCGCGTGCGTGGTTTGAGCGCATCGACCTGCACTCGCTGCCGGCGTACCTGAACCTGGTGAACAACGGTGTCTTGAAGAGCCTGGCGGGGGATTCAAACCTGCACATTCACGCCTTCAACCACCCGCTGAACACATCGGCAGACACGCAGCTGCTCAACTTCATTCAGTCTGGCACCGACGCCTCCGTTGCTGCGTTTGTCATCTTCGCCCTCTCCTTCATCCCCGCGAGCGTGCTGGTGTTCCTGGTGAGCGAGCGTGTGACCCGCAGCAAGTTCATGCAGCTTGCCGCTGGCTGCCGCCCCTGGCAGTACTGGCTCGCCTGCTTCATCTGGGACGCGCTTGCCTTTGTCGTGGCGGCCGTGCTGTGCGTGGGCGTGTTTGCGCTCTTCGCCGTTGACGGCTACTCTGGCCGCAATCTGGGCGCCGTCGCCGTGCTGTTGCTGCTCTACGGCCTTGCCTGCACTACGCTCATGTACCCGTTCTCCTTCGTGTTCAAGGTCCCATCCACCGCATACGTCACCATGATTGTCGCCAACCTCTTTGTGGGCGTGACCACGACGCTCGCCACCTTCGTTCTGGACCGTTTCTCCTGGAACCCCAACCTGTGGCGCGCGAACGTCGTGCTGAAGAAGGTGTTCCTCGTGTTTCCAAACTACTGCTTTGGGCGCGGGCTGCTGGACATTGCCACCAACGAATACACTGCGCAGTACAACGACCTGCAGGCAAACCTGTACGGGGACGAGCTTCCATCGTTCACGTCCCCTTTCTCATGGGACATTGCTGGTCGCAACATGTTTGTCATGGCCGTGCACACCGTTGCCTTCTTCCTCCTCACGCTGTGCATCCAGTACTGGTCGCAGCAGCGGCTCAAGTCGTGGACCAGCAGTGCCCGTGCACGTGTGCTGCGCTGGTGGCGGTGTGTGCGTCACTTTGCTGGTGCTCGTGCTGGTGGAAGCAGTGGCAGTGGTGGATACACGGCAGCCCGGCGCTCAAGTGTCACGTCCACTTCCAGCAGCAACAGTCGCAGTGGCAGTGGTTATGACAGCGACAGCAATGACAGTGACGATGCTGCTGCTGCTGGTGATGATGGTGGTGGTGGTGGTGGTGGTGGTGGTGGTGATCCTGGTCGCCGTTTCCGCGGCATGATTGCCCCTGGTGAGCAGCACAACCATGATACAAACGTCAGCATCAACACCAACAGCACCAACTTCAACCGCCGCAGCCGCAGCCGTGGTCAACACCGTCGTCGCCACCGCGGTACGAACGGTGGGGCGACCTCGCTTGTGGACGAGCCGGCACTTGAGGCGGAGATGGAAGCGCTGAGCGAACACCCGGAGGCATTTGCTGTTCGCGTGGAGCACTTGACCAAGGTGTACTCCACAAAGAGCAGGAAGAAGACAAAGGACACCAGAAGCGCTGCCGACTCGCCACATCAGAGGAAGAATGGCAAGCGCCAAGCACGGCGCCATGCTGCTGTGGACGACGTGTCGTTTGGTGTGCGACGGGGCGAGTGCTTTGGCCTGTTGGGCGTGAACGGCGCTGGAAAAACAACGACCTTCAAGGTGATCTCGGGCGAGCACGCGGCCACATTGGGCGATGTGTTCTTGGATGACGTGTCGGTGTCACAGCACAGGCGCATCACGCAGCGGCAAATGGGCTACTGTCCACAGGAGGACGCCCTGTTGCCGCTGCTGACGCCAACCGAGCACATGCAGCTGTACGGCGGCCTGCGTGGACTGACACCAGAGGCGGTGGAGAAGGGAGCGCGGCTGCTGTTCCGTGTGCTGGACCTACAGCAGTGGAAGAACACGACTGCACGGCACCTGAGTGGCGGCACAAAACGCAAGCTGTCACTGGCGATGGCGCTGCTGGGCACGCGCGGCGTGGTGCTACTTGACGAGCCGAGCGCGGGTCTGGACGCACACGCCAAGCGGTTCCTGTGGTCGCGCGTGCTCGCCGTTGTGCGCAGTGGACGCTCGGTCCTGTTGACGTCGCACAGCATGGAGGAGTGCGAGGCATTGTGCAATCGCCTCACCATCATGGTCGACGGCAAACTCAAGTGCATCGGCACCCCGCAGGTGTTGTGTTTGGGATGGGTGGGAGGAAGGGGGCGGGGCGGGGCGGGGATGTTGAGGGGAGCGCTGTGTTCTGTGTGTGTGTGTGTGTGTGTGTGTGTGTGTGTGTGTGTGTGTGTGTGTGTGTGTGTGTGTGTGTGTGTGTTGGGTGTTGTAGATAGCACGCTGTGCACATGTGTTAGTGTGCCCACTCAAACTAGGGTATTCGCTGTGCCCAGTGTGCCACGACCACCAAATACAATGTCTTCGCATCTGACATTTAGCTTGAGCTTCGTTTCATTGTTACTCACCTGTCGCCCCTCCCGTTCCCGCTGTTTGTGTTTGCCCTTGCGTTCATCACACGTACAGATGCTCAAGACGAAGTTTGGGGACGGGTACACGCTGGTGCTGAAGGCCACTGGTGAGCTCCCCATCTCGCAGGAGCACGTGCGTGCGCAGTTTGCCGGCGCGCAGTTGGTGGAGGCGCATCGTGGGTATGTGCGATTCTTCGTGCCCACCGCATCGGCACAGCCACTCTCCGCTGCGTTTGAGCGTGCGCTCGCCCTGCAGCGCCAACATGGGCTGGAGTACTTTAGCATCTCCCAGACAACCCTCGAAGACATATTCTGCAAGTTTGCCGGCACGTCGCTCGGCCCTTTCAGCCACCACGCCGCCCAACAACATCATGCGGGCCACGACACCGATAACCCCACTGGCAATGTGTCTTCGGTGGCTGCTGGCGCCACCACGAGTTTTGACAGGGGTGCAGGGAGAGCAGAAGGTGTCGTGATGACCAGTCACGCAAACGCCATGTTCCCTGGCGTGAGCGATGGCGATGATTATGATGGTGGCCGTGTTGCTGATGGAGAGGACGCAGCGAAAGGCGAGCATGATGATGGTGATGATGGTGATGATGCTCGTGATGATGGAAATGCCAGTGCAAGTCTGAGCTGGGATGCAGGCGCGCAGTGTGGCGTGATGACAGAGTCCATCCATGAGGAATGGGACAACGAGGGCTGGCAGGCAGCCTGATGCGAATTAATGTGTGTGTGTGTGCATGTGTGTTGTGTGTGTGTTCTGTGCGTGTGTGTGTTGTGTGTGTGTGTGCGTGTTGTGTGTGTGTGTGTGTGTTGTGTCTGTGTGTGCGTGTTGTGTCTGTGTGTGTGTGCGTGTGTTGTGTCTGTGTGTTATGCTCTGCTCACGGTTTGCTTTGCACCATCAGGGAATGTTACAGTTCTTGACGAGTTACTTGTTAATATGCAGCTGCTGCCTTTATCTGCGTTAAATAAAGCAACAGCCATCAACTTCCCACTGGTGCGTTGTGTGATTCACCCGATGTTTCAACGCCCCTCAGGCACGCAAACACACACGCACATGCTGAAATGAGATGAGAACTGCACATCCATTCCACCGCAGTGGCTTCCAACTGGAGTGAGGGAGAGTTTACTGCGCTGGCGTTGTGGACTGCGTGTACCGAAAAGTTGCCAGGACATCAAACGGTGTACGCATGCATGCGCATTCATACATGCACGCACGCGCGCCCACGTCAAGCATCCTGAGCGATGGTGTCGACAAGCGGAGGTAGCACCACGCCCGCCTCTGACAGGCCCTGGCGTAACAAGAAGATGGGCATGGATGACAACGTTCCCAGATGCTTCTCCATGTGTAGCACATCTGCAGCCACGCCTGGGGGTGTGCATGTGTACGTGTGTATGTGTATATGTGTGTATGTGTATATGTGTGTATGTGGGGTTAGCTTATGTGTGTGATGTGAACGGTAACAATGGTCAAGAACGTTGTGTGAAAGGGGTCACGAGAAAAAAGATTGCGTAGTAAACGCACCGACAAACGCTGGCTTGTCTTTTTCTGTATCATGCTTCTTGCAGACAGCCGTCAGCTTCTCATTCAGCATGCGCATCACATTCGCAAACACGACCTGAACACCAGATACGTGTGTGTGTGTGTGTGTGTGTGTGTGTGTGTGTGTGTGTGTGTGTGTGTGTTTTGGGAGGGGGAGGGGGGAAGATGGGCTCGAGGCACGAGGGGGAGGAAAGGTACCAGGATTGCAAAGGTGCACTTGATGAAAAAAATGCACATTGAACAACACCACAGCGTATGTCACATGCACACACACACACACACACACACACACACACACACACACACACACAAGCACACACACACACAAGCACACACACACACACACAAGCACACCTGTAGCGTTGCTGGGGGCAAGATGGGCAGCAGGGCCTTGTGCAGTTTCTGTGCCGACGAAGTGAATGTCTTGCAGCCGTTGGTGACGGCCGCCTTCTGCCACGCCATGTCCTGCAACCGGGCGGTGAACATGACAGTGAACACATGGAAGGGAGGAGTGTGAGGGGTGACCACAGTCAAAGTGCCCACAGACAGATAGACAAACACACATGCACACACACACACACACTCACACACACACACACACACAGAGCACGTGTCCTGCCATGTGTGTACCTGTTCGCATGCAGACCACACGTCCTCCATGATGACGGTGAGTTTGCTGAGGAGATCATGCTGGTGTCGCGCGTACTCATCCTGCACGCTGTTGAACTCAGACAACATGCTCTGCGTACGCATGTGAAACGGTGTGTGTGTGTGCGATGTGTGTGTGTGCGCGATGTGTTTGTGAGACGGAAGTGGGCGAGGAAGCGGACAAAGTCATGCTAACACGCACGCACACACACACACACACACACACACACACACACACACACACACCACACACACACACACACACACTCACACATACCTTCGATCGATCCCTGACGAGCTTTGCACTGCGCTGCTTGATGGAGGGCAGCACTGCCAGGATGACAGCGATGGCCTCGGCGCTGAGCGCAATGTGCTTGGCGGTGATTCGCTTCAGCCCGAGCGTGCGCATTGCCTCCGCTTGCAAAATCAGCCGCCGTACCTGCACACGTGTGCATTTTTTTTGGGGGGCGGGGATGCAATTGAGAGGGGAGCAAAAGCTGCAGGAGGGTAGAGTTCAGCACGACACGCAACACACGCAAAACACATGCATGCACCACCCAGCACGCCACACCTGCGAATTGAATGAGCGGAGGATTTCAAAGAGTTTTCTGAGGAGATCAGAGGCCGCGAGCGGCATGGCATCGAGACATCGGCAGTACTCCGCCAACATCTTGATGAACCTGTCAACGGGCGCGGCGTCGTGCGCACATGTGTGTGAGAGAGTGTGTATGTGTGAGAGGCACTCACACAAACAATTGTCATCCTTCCTTCTCTCATCCTCACATCACCATGAGTGCACGCGTGTGTGTGTACGTACAGCAGAAGCGCGCCGATGGCTGCGTGTTCTTCTCCGTCCACGTCCAATTTCTTCCTCGCTGTCGATGATGAGGATGATGATGGGTGGTCGCCATTCGTGGCGACGTGTTGTTGCCGTTGTTTGTCCTCTTGCTTTGCGGTGTCAGTTGGATGCAGCAGTTGCGAATACAGCCGCTGACATTCCAGAGGCACTTGCGCCTACACACACACACACACACACACACACACACGTGTGAGTGCATCACGTGCATACAAAGCGTTTAGAAGAGGAGCAAGCACGTTGCGCATGTCGTGTTTGGCACCAGTGCTCACCATTGACCAGGATTCCGTCTGCAGCATGGCCTGTAGCTTCTCCATCTCCCGCGCGTGGAATTTGCTCGCGAATGCACGCGTCTGTCCTCGCACGGGGAGCGGGTGGTGGTGGTTGTGGGTGGTTCGCGGATAAGTCGAGTGCTTGACGCAAGCACAGGAGAAACCACGATCACACACACACATGCACGCACGCACGCACACATACACACACACGCACACGCACACACGCACGCACGCACGCACGCACACACACGCACGCACGCACGCACGCACACGCACACACACACACACACACACCTGGGAGCTGAGAGTGTTGCGAAGAGTGTTGGTGTGCAAACCAGACAGCGCCTCCGATTGCGTCAGAAACGCCCACACTTTGTTGTAATACGTGATAAATGCGGTTGCCCCAAGCTTGGCATCGATACCATCACGCAATCGCGCCTGGAACACCTTTGCCAGGCGCGTGTGTATCTCCTCCACTGCACGCCGCACAATCCGTCGGTTCGCCTCAACCAAGCGGTCATACTGCGCCCCACTCAACACTGCACCACCACCACTACCACCGCTGTCGCCATTGCCATTGCTATCGCCGTCATTGTCACCCCGACCGGTGCTGTCTTGTCGGCTGCGGCGTGCCTGTGTCCTCGAGTCACCACCGCCACCACCATTTCCACCGCCATTACTACTGTGCTGCTGACCGCTGGCCCGCTTGCTTCTGCTGCCGCTCTTCCGTTGAACATCGACGTCCACAAGCTCCGCCATCGTCGCATCCATCGTGTTGGCCAGGGTGTCGCTCACAAACTCATCGTCAAACTCGTCATCATCGCCATGACCGCCCCCGTCGCCACCATTGCTGCTGCCATCACCGCCTTCAGCAGTTGCACTGTCACTCTTCTCGTGAGAGACTGCCGGTTGGGCGTGATCATCATCATCATCATCACCACCACCACCACCACCACCACCACCACCACAACTATCACCATGATTACCGTCACCATCACCACCACCGCTGCCACTGCTGTCTGTTCGTGTCTTGGTGGGCGAAGGCGGGCCCGAGGGCGGCATGCTGAAGGGCTGCGGTGAAAGCTCGCGAAGAGCAATGGCAAGCGCGTCGTGGTTGCACACAATGTGCCGGAGAATGCGCAGGAACACGCACGTTGTGCGGTCGAGCAGCACCATCCAGCTGTCAAAGGACAGCAGCCGCAAGGAGTCACCCCATGATGCAATCTGGGTTGGGTCGACGGTCTTGCGCACCGCCTTCTCTGGGCAGCACCGCAAGAAATCCACCACCAGGTCCTTGACGAGACCGCGAAGAAACGTGAGGAGCTGCGTTTCATACGTGGCGAGCACCTGGCTCTGCTGCTGCCGTGCAATGGCGCCAACGAGTGGGCGTATCGTCTGCAGCAGCGCATCAACACGCGCGCCTTCCTCATCCTCCTCGCCCTCATCTTCGTTGTCATTGTTGTACTCTGGTGGTAGCGGCGTCAGCGATGGCACCGCGCCGTCGTGTGTGCCCTCGCTCTCCCCAGCAAACAGCGGCGGCACAACTGCAAAGCGCGGGAGGGAGGGGGTTGAAGGTGAGAATACACTGCAGGGTGTGAAATGGTCATCCATCAAAGACAATTTTCAGGCATCGTCGCATATGATAAAGTCTCCATCAAGCCACAAACAGGCCCATGCAGACAAACACACACACACACACACACACACACAACACACACACACACACACACACACACACACACACACACACACACACGCACGCACCCGACTTAACTGCGTCGACGAGGACCTGCACGAGATCACCGTCCACCATCTTGGCAATCAGCGTCTTGATCTCTGCCAGCTGGTGAGCAAGGTGGCGCACCGCGTGTACCCCTTTAAGGTCCGTTGCCACCACCTCCTGTGTCGTTTGGATGAGGTCAAGTGCCTTGTTGTATTCCCCACTGGCCAGCATGTATTGGATGGTGCTCTGTGTGCGCGACACCGTTGCCACCGTGCTGAGAGTGGCAAGCACGTTGCTGTAGTTTTGCCGCTGTATCAGCAGCCGCAGCATGCGGATGTAAGCGTGTTTGACATGTTGTTTGGTGGCGTCGAGGCGCGTGCGGAACTGGTGCACCGCCCTGCTCGCAACCGCCACCTTCTCCCCGAGCTCCTGCGTGCGTGCGTGCGTGTGCGTGCGTGTGTGTGTGTGTGAATGAAACTGTAGATGCGACGCTACCTGCGAATTGTGCTTTAAACGCGAGTATAAAATGTAATACAGACACAGACGCACAGAGACATAAGCATACACACATACACACGTGCGTACCTCGTGGGACGACATGGCGGCGAAGATGCGCTGCGCTCGTTGCGCCAACTCGATAGACAACTGCATCTCCACAGAGTCGAGATGGTTCGAAAGCTGGCATGGCAGTGCGAGGGCGACATGGCAAATTGTGCAGCGCGTGTCAGTGGCGAGTGTGAAAAGAAGTCAAACAACACACAAGGCATGCACACACACACACACACACACACACACACACACACACACACACACACACACACAACGCATGCACGCACCTTCTCCTGCCGCAGTCTGGTGTTGGCGCGCAGGTCGCGAGTGCGCTGGGTTCCTCCCAGTATAACCGCGTCAAACGTGTCCTTGTCCCTCAAGTCAAACTCGGCGTTGAGAAACATCTGCACATGGCGTGCGTGCGAGTGTGCACGGGTGTGTGCGAGTTTTCAAGTGTGTGCGTGCGAGTGTGCACATGTATGTGCGAGCATACAAGTGTGACAAATCGAATGTTGGCTGACGCAAGCGAGAGATGCAGGAAGCAACCCAGAAACAACCAGACATCACTTTGGAAACAGCGCAGTGCACTGTTGTGACGAACCGATGGCACATCTGGCAGTCTGGGTTTGCGCAAGGGTGCCTCGGCTTCAGAGTCGTCCTCGGAAAACGTGGGCCTGGGAATCCCCGGCGATGATGCGACGGAGGACGGCGCCGTCGTGCTCGCGACATGGTGCTGCGGCAACATCAACGCATACGTGTGTGTGGGTTGCGTGTGAGTGGGAGAAGAGAGCGCGGGTTTGAGGGCGAGGATAAGCGTGAGGGAAAGGGGCGCAGCGGGGGCACACGACGAGAAGACCCGGCGTGGGCGGCAATGCAAGTCGGTGTGCGTTTGCTTGTGATGTCATGCAGTTGCGGTGCGACGACATGTACCTTGCGGGACGCCTTTGTTTGTGGGTGAAACTCTCGTTTCGTGTGAGGAAAGGTGATTTTGGTGCGGGTGGGCACGAAGCTGTCGCCCCAGTCGCGGGTGAACAGGTCCACCTGTCTGCCCTTGCGCGGGTCGTTCAGTGCAGAGGGCAGCGAGTGCGGGAACTGGTGCAGGAGCGAGCGTCGGCGCTGCGACCGCACCGCATCCCTGGACCGTCGCTTTATCAAGAACCCAGGCGAGGGCGGCACAGACGAATCAGACATGGCGCCTGGGCGCGACGTGTGTGTCGGTGAGTGCGCTCGTGTTTGCGCTAGTGCGTGCGCTTGTTCGTGCTTGGTGTGTGTCTGTGTACGCTTCTGCCTGCGAGTGCTTGCTGGCTGGGTTGGAGGAAGAACGACAACAGCCACCTCATCAACGACCACAACCAAAATCACCACACGACACCATAAAAATTGCCGAGACTGTGTGCGTTTGTGTTTGAACAAGCAGCTGCTTTTGCTTGATCTTCATTGCAGACACACACACACACACACAGGTACACACACACACACACACACACACGATACACGAACACACGCACGTGCGCGAGCGTCCTGCTATTGGCGTTGCGGCTTGTCCTTCATTTGGGCGAAGATGCCCATGACGGCGGGATCGTCAAGTTCATCCTCACGCAGCGGCGCTGCACAAGCCGTCGCAGACGACGTGGAGATGTACATTGCTGTGAGCACGGATTCAGGATAACATACACAAAGAGATACACAAACAGAGAGAGAGAGAGACAGAGGCAGAGAGAGAGAGACAGAGGCAGAGAGAGACAGAGACAGAGAGACAGAGAGAGACAGAGAGAGACAGAGAGATATACAAACACACATACAGGCACACACACACACACACACAGACAGACACACACACTCACACTCACTCACTCACTCCCTCACTCACATACACACACACACACACACACTCTCTCTCTCTCTCTCTCTCTTACCCAGGGCATCAATGACGGCTGCTGTGTCCATAATCACAAAGGGCTGTGGGCGATAGGAGCCGGGAGAACGGTGTACGCAGACGGAGACGCAGTGCCGCGGATCAAGATGACACTGCTCAAACGTCCAGTCTGACAACCGCTCGCCATCCACCTCGCACGTCGCACCATCCACCACGGCCCTTGGTGGTGGTGTTGGTGGGAATGTGCGTGTGTATGTGTGTACATGAGAGCGGAGGGGTACGAGAAATGAAGGGCAATGCATTACACACACACACACACATGCACACAACGCACACACACATATGCACACACATAACACACACACACACACAACACATACACGTACATCAAGTCGTCTTGTGCGTGTGAGAGACGGGGATCTGAGGCAAACTGTAACCGCTGAAGATCCATGCGCAGGCCAAGACCAATGGCCTTGATATAGCTCTCCTTTAGCGTCCAGTAGCGATAAAACTCAAGCTGGTAAGCAGTGATGACAGTATCATGGTCACACCAGCCACACGTGAGGTACAGACGTGTGCCTTGCATCAACCACCTACTGACCCGCATGAACGCCCGCACTCAAGCCAATACACACAGAGACAGACAGACAATCAGACAGACAGACAGACAGACAGACAGACAGACACACACACACACACACACGCACACACACACACACTCACACACACTCACTTACACTCACTGACTGACAAGGGCTGTGCCGTGGGTGTCGGATCGGCGAATGTTGTCCCATTCCTTTGGCGTGAAGGTGGTTGTCATGAGCTCGAAGAACCGCTCCACATCATCATGCAAGGGCCGTCGATGGTCCATGACATCCACGCCAATCTCGCGCTCCGAATCAGCTGCCATTACCACATATGACCCCTTTGAGGCAACAACAAAGGAAAACAGCAAGGAGCGCGGTTATGGACAAGATAGCGATCGTGGTGAGGAACCCCCACAAGCAAAAACAGCCTCACCCACCAACGTCCCTCGAGAAACGGGATGTCCACCACCAGACTCACTGCATGAGAGACGTTAAATCGCAACTGCGACACGTGTTCCGGGCACCGCAGCACGGGGCGACCACTTTCCTCCCGCACCAGCTCAATCTCAGCGTTTGGCACGCCAAGCTCTTCCTGCACTAGATATCTCAATAACAACCGCCCAACCTAAGCGAGCGGTGTTAAACTGTGAGCAACCTTGCTTTGAACTGGTGGCAAATGCGCTATAGTCCTGACCTTGGGGTTTCCACTTGGGGAAAGCGCATCTCTTCAAGAAATAACACATACATCATGCACAAGTGGCGCGCGCGCGCACACGCACACGCACGCATACACACGCACACACACACGCACACACAAACTCACCAAGCTACTCTTGGCATCTTGGATGAACCTAAACCGAAGGATGCGCTCGCGTTCATCTCGCTGCACCCGTGCTATCGCACCCGCAAACTCCTGAACGTGAGAACAACAGCCCATTGTGTTGTGTTGTCAAACGACAAGTAAGCGACTGACTGTACACGGCGCGGCAATGAAGTGCACGTACAAAGAAACACATGCACATACATTATCGAGCATACAAATAAACGCACATACATGCATGCACACACGAGCACACACCCCACACGCACAAACATGGCCTGACCTTTGCTGTTGGCGTCCACGCTTGCGCGTTGACCGCCACTCGTCGCCAGCTGCGTGACATGTTGTTGTGTTTTGTCATCAGCTTCCGCACAATACAGAAAATTGGAGGGAATCATTCACAAATCCTCCACAACTGCCACAACTCAAGAAGCTTTGCCACGAACACAAACAAACAAACAAGATCGCCTGCGCGCTGTGGTGTGTTGTGGTGTGTATTGTGTGGATGTCTGCCGTGTTTGGAGCTGTGACCATGACGGCGATCAAGGCAACCGTGCTCGTGCTGGTGGGTGGGCTATTGAGCGTGGCCAAGCTTGGTGGTGTTGCGTTGGGCGAAAGTGCCGGTGAACCCGGGGATGTGATCTTCGTGCAAGACGACGAAGGTCATTTGCACTTGCAAACATCCGCAACAGGTGCCCGTGTGTTTGTCAATGGCATCGATGTGGAGCTCCTTCGTGCCCGCGTGGCTACGTTGGAGCGAGCGTTTGACGGTGTTGTGCCGGCCCCACCACCGCCACCCGAGCAACCCACTGCAACTACACCCCCCATGCAGATGCAGACGCCAACCACAACAAGCACGACCACCACCACCACGACGACTACGACAACAAGCACTACTACAAGCACGACCACTACAAGCACGACAACCACCACTACAACCACCACTACGACGAGCACCACCACGACGACCACGACAACCAGTACAAGCACCACCACGACTTCCACTACAAGCACCACGACCAAGAAGCAACCTGTGTATCGAGCCAACTACCAAGCAGACTCCAACTGGCTGTTCGGAACAGATAGCAAGGACGAGCTTCGCGGGCTTGCTGCAGATCCAAACGATGAGCGCTATGTCTACGTGGTTGGCAAGAGCCCAGGCCGGCTCGACCCATATGCCACCCTTCTCGGAGACAAGGAGGCGTTCGTGGCGTGCCTGGACCGACAAGAACGCCGGATCAAGTGGGCCAAGCAGTTCAGCACCGCGAAGAACGATGACGGCGAGATGATTGCGGTCGACGGTGCGACGCGCCGCGTCTTTGCCGCTGGCAAGCCCGGCGGCGACCTGTTCCCCCGCCCCAACGGCACAGCCAAGGAGGAATTCTTCCTCGTCGCCCTTGATGCAGACGACGGCGGGTTCTTGTGGGGGTATCAGTTCCCCGGAAAGGCCAAGGCCATCGCCACTGCTCCCGGCCCTGACGGCGGGAACCGTGTCTATGTCACCGGAGGCATCAAGGGCAACGCGTTCGAGACATTGGTGGACGACAAGGGCTTGAAGAAAGACATGCTGCTGGCCGCTATTGACGCGAGCAGCGGGCGCGCGCTGTGGGGCCGCACATATGGTACTGGGGACGAGGACGAGGAGGCCAAGGCCATCGCCGCCCTCAGCGATGGCAGCACCGTGTTTGTGGGCGTGGAGTGGATGACCAGCATCAAGGGCCGCGTGAGCAGCGTGGACAAGAAGGACATGTCTGTGCTGGCGGTTGACACGCGCACGGGCAGCATCGCGTGGGAGCAGGCGTTTGGTGGAATGGAAGATGACAAGCCGGCTGCGCTTGCGCTTGGTCCAGACGAAGATCTGCTCTACTTCACAGGCACCACAAAGTCGCCGCTGGCGCCCAACTGGAACAGCAGCGTGCTGGACGCCGAGGATGTATTTGTGGCGTGTCTGGACGTGACTTCCCTTGGGCGGGTGCAGTGGGCGCGGCAGGTTGGCGCAATGGGCAACGACAAGCCCGAGGCCATCGCCACAGGCAGACACCCTGGCGGGCGTACCGTGGTGGCGGTGGTGGGAACAGCGGACAATGCACTGCCCGAGCAGACAAACAGGGGCGGGAAGGACGGCTTCTTCCTCGTGGCAGATGCTGACAGTGGGGTGCTGCAGTACTTGCACCAGTTTGGCACGATGGACATGGACGAGCCCCGCGGTGTGTACATCCTCCAGGGCAGCAGCGGCGGCGGCAGCAATGGTGGCGGTGACAATGGTGGTGAAGCTACCAACCCCAACCGGCGTGGGCAGGCCGTGGTGATTGGGCAGGCCAAGGACCTGTTTCGCACTGGGAATTCGCCGATGGCAGAGACGTCTGGCTTTGTGCTCGAGTACAAGCCGACACTGCCGTGAAATGGGGGACTGAATGGGGAGGAAGGAGGGGGAGGGGGAGGTTGCAGACAATCACTGTGTGTGTGTGTGTGTGTGTGTGTGTGTGTGTGTGTGTGTGTGTGTGTGTGTGTGTGTGTGTGTGTGTGTGCGTGTGTGTGTGTGTGTGTGTGTGTGTGTGTGTGTGTGTGTGTGTGTGTGTGTGTGTGTGTGTGTGTGTGTGTGTGTGTGTGTGTGTGTGTGTGTGTGTGTGTGTGTTTTGAGCTTCAAAGGAGTCGATGGTGACCCGATGATTGTGTTGAAGTGCAGGTGCTGGTGGGCGCAGCAGCCTTGCACATGATGTGTTGCTGACATTCTGTATTCCATGCATGCGTTATTTGCCATCTTGCTCTGTCGTTAACTGTAATGCCACTTGCTCCTTCACAATGGAAGCACGACTACAACGTGAAGTGAACACTGAACACCCCGCGTTGACCATTGTGACATGCGTTGTGCCATGCCTGAGCACGAAACTGCTGGTGGCGTGATTGAGGGTTGGTTGAGACACTGACACGTCAAACGACTTTTTGTGGCAACAACGACGACGGCAATGACGACAGCCCTGTTTGCGCTAGCGGTGTTTGTGGCTACTGCCTGGGCTGCTGGTGCTGTTGGTGCACTTGGCACAGCCACGCCGGCTGGTGTTGATGGCCTGGTGGAGTGGGCACGTGCTCAGGGTGCCGTCATTGCTCCAGCTGTTGCCATTCGCACATCTCCACTCACTGGGAATGGCGTGTACGCTACAGCAGACATGAAGGTGTGCATGTGTGTGTATGTGTGTGCATGTGTGTGTGCATGTGTGTGTGCATATGTGTGTGTGTGTGTGCATGTGTGTGTGTGCATGTGTGTGCATGTGTGTGTGTGTGTGCATGTGTTTTGCTTTCCGTTGTCCCCCTGCCTCCACCCCACTCCCTCACCACCCCACTCCATCACCATCCCTCCACCATCCCTCCATGACGCCACCACACCCTGCCAGGCGCACACCACCGTGTTTGCGGTGCCTTTCTCGCTCATGATGAACGTGGAGCATGCGCTGGTGGACCCTGATCTGGGGCGGCTGTGGGACATGCTGCCAGACCTCTCGGACTTGGAGGTCCTGGCAGGCTTCTTGGCCTTTGAGTCCCTGCGTGGCACTGGCTTCTGGCAGCCGTACCTGGCGTCGCTCGGTCCACCACCAACCACCCCGACCTTGTTTTCCCAAGAAGAGATGGACCTGCTGGCGCCGTCAGCGGCTGTATTTGACATTGCGCAGCAGCGCCACCTGGACTTATCAGAGGTCAGCGAGAAGGCGGGAGAGAGAGAGAGAGAGAGAGAGTGTGTGTGTGTGTGTGTGTGTGTGTGTGTGTGTGTGTGTGTGTGTGCGTGTGTGTGTGTGTGTGTGTGTGTGTGTGTGTGTGTGTGTGTGTGTGTGCGTGTGTGTGTGTGTGTGTGTGTGTGTGTGCTTGTTGTGTGTGTGTGTTGTGTGTTGTGCGTGTTGTGTGTGTTGTGTGTGTGTTGTGCGTGTTGTGTGTGTGTGTGTGTGCTTGTGCTTGTGTGTGCTTGTCTTTGCAACGATTACTCAAGCAACACACAGGCTCATTCATACGTTGGTGGCTTGCATGATAGGTGTACGACCTCATCGTAAAAGCAGCCACCAATGGCCTCAACAAGAAGGAGAAAGAAGCTTGGCAGCAGCTCGGCATGAGAAAGTACGTGCAGCTACATGTCTGTGTGCATGCTTGCGCAAGAGTGCAAACGCTGTTGATGTGTTCTGCGCTTGTGCATGTCATGGATCCTCATCTTTCATGCTCTTGACGTCGCCCGCTTACGTACACACCACACACACACACACACACACAAACACACACACACACACGCATTGCAGGAGCGACTACTTGTGGGCGCATGTTGTGTTGCGGTCTCGGTCACACAAGCTGTCCATCAAGGACGCTGTCGGGCAGTGGCACGACGCCATGTGTCTTGTTCCGCTCGCTGACCTCTTCAACACAGACCTGAGGAACAACACTGCCAACGTTGCGTGCTACACCGGTGAGGAAGGCCACGGCACGGCGAGCACATTCTACTGCGAAACAACGCGCGACATCAACCACAGCGAAGAGGTGTGTCTGTGTGTCTGTGTCTGTGTCTGTGTCTGTGTCTGTGTCTGTGTCTGTGTCCGTCTGTGTCTGTCTGTCTGTCTGTCTGTGTCTGTCTGTCTGTCTGTCTGTCTATCTGTGAATATGTGTGTGAGCATGGCTTTACATCCACCTGTGTGCTTGTGCATGTATGAATGCTGTCACGTTCGCTTCATCGGGTTTGTTCCTTCACGTGCGTGGAGCATTCTCTCATCAAACCACCCATGTCTTCTTTGATTCGCCATCACCTTGTCTGTCCTCTCACTGCAAATACGCGCGCGGGTCAGCTGCTGGTGGAGTACATTGGCGATGCCATGCGTCGGTCGAGCGGCAAGCTTCTCCTCGACTACGGGTTTGTGCCGACCACCCACGACTCTGACAGCGTGCTGCTGCACTTGCCAAAACTCAGCGAAACGGCAGAGCAGCGCCTCAAGCACTTTCACTTTCGGTCAGTGAAACTGCCTCATTTGTTGGGGGTGCTTGGATGCTTGGATGGTAGCTATCTTGGTGCAGCTGCAAGAAGATGTGCAGTTCAGCTCATGCCGCCTACACTCACTCACTTCCACACTCACAAACTCACACACACACACACTAACACACACACACACACACACACACACACACACACTAACACACAAACTCACACACACACACACACTAACACACTGCCACGCCTACGTGTGCAGGGAGTATGAGCCGCTGCCGTGGCTGGAGAACAGCGACGCGTGCCTGAAGCTGCGCCTCGTCATCTACTTCGCCATCGATGTCCTCGACAAGAACGGCTTTGACATCTCAGACGACTTTAAGGTGCAGCAGTAACAGCAATAGTGGTGTTGTTGCTTTTGGGATGTTGGTGATGTGTTCGGGACACGTAAACACAATCGCAGGCTGTCTTGCAGTTCTGTAACTGCAGATACACGACCACACACACACACACACACACACACACACACACACACACACACACACACACGCACACACACACACACACACACACACACCCATCAGGTAAGTGACAAGTTGCTGTCTGAGCGGCTGCGGCGCGACGGTCTCGACCGGCTGCTCGAACACATCTCCGACCTCAACGACGCATACCCAAACCATGGTGATGGTGATGGCAATGGTGATGGCAATGGTGATGGCACACGGGGCAGGAGCGCGTTCCCTGCTGGGGTGCGTGCTGATGTTGGTGAGGCGATTCTACGGCTGCAACAGAACGAGCAGCGAATTCTGCAGCGCGCGCTGGACGTGTGCACGGCAGTCGTGTAATGGGCGCAAGCGGCGTTGATGGTGGTGATGGTGGTGATGGTGGTGTTGGTGGTTGGTTGGTTGGTTGGTTGGTTGGTTGGTTGGTTGGTGATGGGGCTAAGGTCGGTGAAGTGACAGCGACATGACAGATTGATGGTTGATGATGGCTGCACATTGAACATGGGGTGGTGCAGCTGTGCAGGCTGTGGCGATTGTTCACTTCAGTGGTGATTGGCATTGATCGCCTGGGGCGCTTGTGTTTCACATTTAGCTGAGGGTTTAAGGTGACGTGAACGACCAATACACAACACACCAACGGAAGCAAAAAAAATGCACACGAGTGGTGCGCAGGTGGGGTAGCGATCACCAAAGTGACAACAACGACGACGACAAGAAACGATGACAACGACAAGAAACAACAGCGAGGGACCACAGTGCCCAGTCAAGCGACAACGCGTACACGTGCGCACATGCGTGGTTTAGTACTGTGCAAAGTGGTTGAGCCGCAGCAGCGGCACCTGCCCGCCATCGTTGCCCTGTGTGGAAGGAAAACACAAGACGCGTAGTGGACATGCAGGAGGGTGAGCCCAAGAAGGTAGAGGAGACGTATTGTGCAATCGTATGTGCGTGCGTGCGTTCGTGCGCGCGCATGTACACCTCAGCACAAGAAGCAGCTGCAGGTTGCACAAGTCAGACCAAGCACAAAACGCGGCGTTCAGTCGCACCAGCGCAAGGTATTTGCCGTGCGGAGAGAATGCCTGCGAGTGTGTGAAGCGAAGGTTGGTCCCTGGAAGAAAGCAAGGCAAGAAGAATCAAACGTGCACCACATTGAATGAGATGATGGTCACAGAACATGGAGACAAGGGTGTGAGTGAGTAGGTGAGTGAGTGAGTGAGTGAGTACTACGCCACGCACGCACACACACACACACACACACACACACACACACACACACACACACACACACACACACACACACACACACACACACACACACACACACACACACGCTCACGTGTTGAGGGCCAGTTTTTGAAGACGGTGAGTGAGGGCATGTGCACGAGACGGATGGCGTTCCGTCGCATGCGGCTCGACATGCACAGCACGCTCCTGTAGGGACGAGAAGCAAGGAGACGCGGGGCGAGGTGGTGTGAGGTGTCGGCTTGACAGAGTTGTTTTTCCTCCGGCAAGCGCAGTACAAGCACCAACATACAGAGAGACACGCACGGAGACACACAGCGACACACAGACACACACACAATCACACAGACACACACACACACACACAATCACACACAATCAAACACACACACGCACCCGTCGTGGTTGAAGGAAAGGTTATCGATGGTGGTGGTGAGGTTGAGGAAAGACTTGCGCGGCTTTGGTGCGCGCGATGACATACACACGTCATCATACACATTCACAACACCGGCATCAGACCTGTGGCAGCGTCGAAGATAAATCAGGTGACAAGGGTGAGTGTCGCAATCGCAATTGCCACATGCCATGTGAGCCCACGACAACACGCCACCGCCATCACCAGCAAGCAGCGCCGCGGATCATGCGCGCACCCAACTGCGATGGACTTGTTGTCTGGAGAGACCGCAATGGCGGTGGCAATCTGGCAGCCCTCGTCCTCAAACACGTTGATGCAGTCCCGCGTGTTCATGTCCCAGATGTACACGCGCCCTTCGTCTGAGAGAGGCGGTGGGGTGGGGTGTGAGTGAAGCGCAAACATGAACAGGTCGGAACACACACACACACACACACATGCAAACGCACACACTCACACACATGCAAACGCACAACAGGATCGGCAGTCACGCTGGTCAACGACAGCCATCATCCACAAACGACACGAACGACACCACTCCATGGCAGGCTGTGCGACTGCTCACTTCCTGTTGTGTAGAGGTAGCGGGAATCGCGGGAGAACGCGGCCTTGCGGCACGACTGGTTCATCTTCAGCGTCCCAATCAGCTGCTTCGTCTGGAGCAAGAGAGAGGGAGGATCAATGAGGTGATGCGGGGGCGAGGCAGTGCGAACGGAAAGAGCAAAGCAAAAGGCAGCAGTAGTTTGGTTGGATGATGGTGGTGGCATCAGAACAAGACATGCAACGCGCACAAGCGGGCTTCATGTCAAAGCACCTTGCGTGAGACGAGGAGCATGTGGCCATCACGACCGGTAAAGGTGATAAACTGGTTATCTGGGGACAAACACATGCGCTCCAAGCTCTGCTCCTTCCGCCCTGCAAATGGTCAACACGAAATCAGTCACGCAACAGCAACACATGGAGAGAACGCGCCAACGGATGAGAGTTTGTGTGCACATACATGTGTTTGTGCATCCGGGCATGCATGTCAAATGGTGCAGTCTGCAGCGTGGGTGGGGTTCGATGGCAGGCACCTCCACACCAGCGTGACGCGCACACAGTGCCAGCGCTGCCACACACCTGCGAGGTAGGGCGTGCATGTGACGGATCCTGTTTCGAGGTCAAACGAGTAGAAAAAGGGGCGACGGCCAGACATGATCACCTATGTGCACACACACACACACACATACGCACACACACACACACACACACACAAGCGACAGTGAGCAATTTACGGTGAGGAGAAGCACAAGACGAACAGAGGTGGCAATTCAAGGCAAACATACGTATTTGTTCCTGTAGGCAAGAGGTAGGAAGGAGTGTTGATAGCAACCCCACCAACAGCCAAACAGCAACAACATCAGCACCACCGCCATACAACATCAGCACCACCGCCATACAACAACAGCACCAGCAGCAATTTGGCGCAGTTACACCACGCACCTCTGTTCCGTCTGGGGAGAAGGCAGCGCTGTACATGGGGAGGTTGCGCACAAACGTGGAGGACATGAGCTTGTTCCTGCGGCCGTCAACCTGCGATCAACAATAGCAGCGACGCAGCAAAGACACCGAAAGGATAAACCAATCAGCACAAGTGAACACGTGCAGACGGTCGTGTTCACACACATCGAGTGCAGTGAGGTGGGCAGGGGCATGGTGACACGTTGACGTGCAGACAGCAAGAGGAGAACGATTGCAACCCATCACGCCAAGCATTCCGGCATCTGTGAACACGTTCAGACCACCACCGCCACCACCACCACCACCACCACCACCACCACCACCACACCACCACCACCACCACCACCACCACCACCACCACACCACCACCACCACCAGCAGCAGCAATCGCACCAAGCGTCCACAAACCAATCATCAACCTTCCCTCTTCCCCCCTCCAACACACACAAACACACGCGCGCACCTGGAATATTCTGAGGGTCTTGTCGAGGCCAGCTGTAAGGATGGCGGGGGCAGACGGGTGGAAGTGGACGGCCTGCACGACGGCAGAGGAGCGCTTGGCCTGGTTGGCGTCCGCCAGCCGCGAAATGTCAACGACGCCCCGGATCAGCCGCGATCGGCTCGACGCAAGCAGCGGCTCTGGTTGTGGTGATTGCGGGGGGGGGGGCGGTGGTGATGATGGTGGAGGTTGTGGTGGTGGTGGTCAGTAGGCGAAAGCAAGCTGGTGCAGGAATAATACAGTGCGCATACTGTGTGATCACGCAGAAGCACTCCCCACAATGCACCAAGCACACACAAACACACACGCATACACGCACACACATACACATACACATACACATACACACACAAGCACATGCACATGCAAAGCACATACACCCACGCGCGCACACACACACATACAACCACGAGGGCACTGACTTGTTGATCTGAGGAGTGCCGTATCGTCGCCATCGACGTCGCCATGCTCCTCAATGGCGGCTGTACGCAAATCCTCCTGCGCCCACGCGGGCCGTCCGTGCAGTTTCTCAAACTGTCGCCGCAACTTGCTCTCCAGTCGCGACCCAGAGACAACCTGCACACGCATGTACAACGAGGGGTGTTGGCCATCGTGGTGGTGATCATGTAAGGGTGAATACCGCCTTGAAGGCAGGTGGGGTGTGACTTACGCAGGCATGTACGCGCAAACACGCGCACGCGCGCACACGCACACGCGAAGACATGTGCACAAGGGCGCACCTCATCATCGGCATCGTCACGCAGCTTGCGAAGGCGCGCTTGTGCGCCAATGTCAACACTGCAGAGATCACACCGGGCAGAGGAGACGCAGAAAGGCAATCGTTGAGATGGACAGTGGCGATGTCGTTTGGTTGCAAAGAGGAACACCACCAGCACCACCCATCTACACACATCTACACCCATCTACACACACGTCAAGATACACCTAGACGCACACACGCGTACACACATCTAGGCACATACACACACGCGTACACACATCTAGGCACACACACACGCGCACACACACGCGCACACATCTCGGCACATACATACATACATACATACACAGTCCATACCTGACTTCTTCGTCGTCCTCGTCAACCCACGCCGGCACCTTGTCGTCCAGCACAGGACCTCTCACAGGTTCCTTGTCCTGAAACCAAGAGTAAAATACACGTGCACGCCACACGTGTGTGTGTGTGTGTGTTCGATAGAATGAGGTCTGAGCACCGAGAAGCAAGGCCATCATGGCACGTGCCTGCGTACACGTGCATGTGTAATGAGCCCCATGCCCACGAGTAACACCCGCGACTTCATCCACACTCACACCCACACCCACACCCACACCCACACGCACACTCACACCCACACCCGAATCCACACATACGTAGATACTGATGACGTCCTTGATAGCGTCTTCGCCGTGTCCAAACACGGCTGTTTCCAGGGACTTGAGCTTGGCATCGTTTGCGCCCAACACATGCTTCTTGCCCTTCTTGCCCTTCTTGCCCTTCTTGTGGTTATCCTCCTCGTGTTCAGAAGAGTCCTCATCATCTGCGGTGTGATCTCTGCCTTCCACGTCCTCCACGAACATGTCTTCCTCTGCCTCCTCACCCATGCCGGCGTTCTTCTTCTCGGCATGTGGACGCTCGTCCTCGTCGTCGCTGGCACCGCCAAGCACGTCGTCTTCCAGCTCATCTTCCTCCGCATCCCTCACCTCCCACCGCTTTGCGCGCTTCGATCCATGCGCATCCTCGTGGTACACACCACCAGCTGCTTTCCGAGAAGACAGCATCCTGCTTTGTCCAACGCAGAAGATCGTCACAACAGCTCACACAACAGCTCACGCAACAGCTCTCACGCAAACGCACGTTGTCTGTCTGCTTTCGCCTTTCTGCTTCGCGTACACGTGATTGTGAAGGCTCGCGGTGCAGTCCATAAATTTCTAGCCAAAGAACAAGAGGACAACGACGGACCAAGAAGAAGGAAAGGAAACAAGACGACAACAGAGAACGAGGAAGACATGCCGCCGACGCCGCAGCAAGAGCGGAAGGAGCAGCTGCGGCGCGTGCTTGCTGCTGTCAGCGACCTGGAGAAGCTGGAGGCAGAGTGCCAGTTCAAGTACGTCACCTCAATGTTGGTGGCGGTGGTGGTGGTGGTGGTGGTGTGTGTGTGTGTGTGTGTGTGTGTGTGTGTGTGTGTGTGTGTGTGTGTGTGTGTGTGAAACTGTGGTGTTGGCAGTTGTCGATGCTGTGTTGTGAGGCATGCGTCGTCTCACATCGTCAATGCTCCGCTGTTGTTGTGTTTTGTCGATCCGATTGGTTCGACAGCGCGCATGCACTGCACACAATCAAGCCGCAGCACTTGGGTCTTGTGAAGGGGTTCTTCTCCCAGCTGTTGCACCTTCGCCCGCGAGATCTCAGGAGCAACCCGCAGCTGAGCAAAGTGCGCGCCTTCGTCCTCAATGCCGCCACCAGCCCCTTCGACAGAGCCTTGCGGCGCGCAGCCCAGCCGTGTTTGGAGGCCCTCATGAACACCTCTGCCTTCAACAGCGTTCTTCTCGAACACGTGTTTACGCTCGCGCATCAGGGCCATCCTTACAAGCACCTCCTGTCGATCCTCCCTCGCAACTCCATCACAACCAAGGTCGCAAGTGCTTGCCTGTGTGCCGGGGTGTGGGTGCGTGTGTGTATGCTTGTGTCGCTACTTTGGCGTGTGTATATGTGTGTTGTTCCGCACACGTTCGCAAGCGCAGCAGGACACAGGGGCGTGTCGACAAACCTTCCGGTCTCACGTACCCATGACCCGCTTGTTTTGTGTGTCGATAGGCCATTTGGAACATGCACGCATCGAGCTTCTTCAGCAACCGGGACCAGCCAACCCGCAACGCTTGCGTGCTTCTGGCCTGGGCCAGCCTGCCGGTAACTACTGAGCTTGACGCTGTCCGTCTCCAGCTGTCGACACACGCGCATATGCACACGCATGTGCACATGTCTTTCCGTCTTTCCTTGTTCGCAGAACGCCCTCTCCCTCATGACGTTGTGTGCACTGTTTGCCTGTTTATTTGTCTGGTTTCTCCCCTTCCCCCTCCCCTCCGCTTTGTGTGTATGCGTGTGTGTGTGTGTGTGTGTGTGTGTGTGTGTGTGTGTGTGTGTTTGGTGGCTCTGGCATGTGCGTGACAGGGTGTGAGCTTTCCGCCAAAGGAGCTGGAAATTACGTACATCCGCAACTACCTCAAGAGCGTCTGTGAAGGCGTCGAACTGGTGCGAATACACGTGTCAGCAGCGCACGCATGCATGTACCTTTGTGCCCACATCAGTGACGCTTGTACGCTGGTGCAAGTGCAAACCTGTTCTTGCACACGTTCACAATCACACACAACCACACACACACAATCACACGCACAACCACACACACACACACACACACACACACACACACAAACACTCACAATCACACACACACTTTCGCTCACACACTTCCTTCCCGAACCACAGGTTGCGGAGCGAAAGAAAGGCACGAGCCTGGATCTGGTGCTGTGCGTGACGGCGCTGCTGCACCGGCTGTCGCCAAAGGACTGCTCGACGCTCGCCCGCCTCCTTCGCGCCGTCATTGTCGGCAACAACCTCCTGCCGTCCCCAGCATCGCGCCACCGCCGCAAGCAGCGCCGCCATTGTCGCCACGAACATGGTCCCGCCGCCACGCGCCCGCAGCGCAACACCTCGACATCATCGGCCTCGACCGTCATCGCATCGGCGGTGTCGCCATCGCCATCGCCATCGTCGTCGTCGTCGTCCGGTGCAGCGGTGCAGCGGCGGCGGCAGCGCTGCGACCGCAGCCGTCCACGCCAGCACGACGCCAGCAAGCAATCCCAGCGCCACCAGCAGCAGCGCCACCGGCGTGTGCGCCGGCGTCACCATTGCCACCAGGATCAGCAGCGCGGGGATCACGGCCATCGCCGCCGTCGCCGCCGCAGCCGAAACGACACGCTGAGACCGCAGGACGTTGCGGCGCTTGGGCGGCCCCGCAACGACGCCAGCATCAGCACCATCACGGGCGGCAGCAACGTGTCGTCGTCATCGACCATCACAGCAACGCACACCGACAGCAGCACTGTGGTTGTGTCTTCCCGTGCACCAGCAGCGGACGGCAGCCCCGACGGCACCACCAACGCAACTGCTACTGGCCAGTCACCCCCGAACGGCACAACCACCACCAGCTCCAACAACGGCAACACCAGGATCGCCGCCGCCCCGAGCAGCAGCGCCGCTGGTGCAGTTGTTGGTGACGGGTGGATTGCGGAGGGCGCGTGTGCTCGAGGCGGATATGGACCGCACCAGCCCGAGTACGGCGGCGTGGGCACACCTGTCGGCAGCAGCGTGGCGCAGGACGTGGCGGTGGAGCTGGCGGCGACGATGCACGCGCGCTTTGGGCCGCACGCGTACACGGCCGTGGAGGCGCTCGGCTGTGATCGCACGCTGCTGTTCTTCACACACGTGCAGCGGAACGTGTGGACCCGCTTCGACCCGGCAAGGCAGCTCCCGCCATACCTCGACACGTGCGTGTATGCATGCGTATGTGCATGGATTGTGTGTGCGCTGTGTATGCGTGTGTGTCGTGTTGTGTTGTGTGTGCGTGTGTGTGTGTGTGTGTGTGTGCTTGCATGTGTGTGTGTGTCGTGTTGTGTTGTGTGTCGGTGTCAGCGAATGAGCCTTCGCCTTCGCCTTCGCCTTCGCCTTCAACACACAACCTCACCACTTTCCGTTGCCCTCTACCTTCCTTTCCATCACGCCGCTATTTATTAGTGTGTGGCTGCCGCGCAACCCGGCCTTTGAGGACTGCACCCGCCACCGCACAGACGTCACGCGCATGCAGCAGTTTGGCTGCGAACTTGCCTCCCCACAGGTGTGTGTGTGTGTGTGTGTGTGTGTGTGTGTGTGTGTGTGTGTGTGTGTGTGTGTGTGTGTGTGTGTGTGTGCTTCGCTGCTCTTGGAGTGGTGTCACGGGCATGTTTCAACGAAGCTCAAGTTCTCACTGCTGCTGTCACGACTGCAACGACTGCCACCTGTGCCTTGCGTGTGCGCGAATGCGATAGAGCGGCGGTGAGGGAGAAGATAACGACGATGGCGACGACGACGATGCCCTCATCAAGCAATTTGAGGTGCAGCGCCTCACACGTGTAACGCATGCTCGTGTCAGCAGCACAGGGCGTGCGTGTGTATGTTTGCCCAAGTGTGCGTGTGTGTGCACTCATCATCCTTATCACCTCCGCTTGTTGCCTGCGTACCCTACACTCCATGCCAGCTGTGTGCGATGAAGCTGCGCATCCTGTCCAAGCGCTACGCAAACTCCAAGCTCCTCCTCGAGCGAGCAGAAGATGCGCGCCCACAGCAGGTGCCCATGGTTGTGTGTGTGTGTGTGTGTGTGTGTGTGTGTGTGTGTGTGTGTGTGAGTGTGTGTGTGTGTGTGGCGTATGTTGTATGCGCGTGTGTCATGTGTATCTGTATCTGTGTGTGTGTCTGCGTGTGTGTGTGTGTGTGTTTCGTCTCGTAGCTCTATGCGTTCAGATTGCCGTGTTGTCCTGCGCTTCTGCTGTCAAGTCGCTTACATCCTTCACATCATCGTGCGCGGTGCTAGTCTGTGCGCGTGTCGCTGCCGACGCGGCATGAGCCATCGTGGCGGCCCATGGAGCAGCACCTGGACCGCGTCATCGCAGCCTACAAGGCGTCAGTCACACTCACACTCACACTCACGCTCACACGCACACTCACACTCACACTCACACTCACACTCACACTCACACTCACACTCACACGCACACGCACACTCACACTCACACGCACACACTCACACACGCACACTCCTCCTCCTTGTACCTGGTGGAGGAATGAGTGCTGCTGTTTACCTTTGCGCGGCCTCACTTCCTTCTCACAACCGTGACCATATGCTGACAGGTCTCAGCTGTTTGCCGAGAAGATGCGCACCACACTGTTTGACAAGGAGCGCGACTACGACCACATTTACGGCCCCATGCGTGCAGGATTCATCCAGTCGACGTTTCCAAACGCCACTTATGTCCAGTGAGTTGCACCATCTGTACGTGTGTGTGTGCGCGCGTGTTGGTGTGTTCCTTTGCCAGACTGCCAGCCTGTCTACGTACGTGTGCACGAGAAATGCAGGTGTCTGCTCCAGTTGCGATCCCCCTGAGCCCCCCCCCCCGGCTTTATTCCTGACCCCTTCACCCCTGCCTCCTGACCATCTCCTGGACGGTGTTGCGCTTCTTGCTGTCCAGGCGGCCGTACAACCATCTTGAGCGCCACACGAACGACAGTATTCGCCAGACCCGCGACTACTTTGCGGTGCGCACCTCACACCACCGCCCGAATCCTCGTGGTCACATTTCTCACTTCCGTGTTCTCGTGTGTCTCTTGTACACTTTTCTATCTCTCTCTCTCACACATGCATTAATCATCCGACTCGTTCATGGCTGACACTCACCGTTTTATTGCGTATTGTCTTCACACCCCTCTCTGCAACCATCGCCCCGCACCCATCCCCACGTGTATCCGTCACCTCACCTTTACAGACTGCGGTGTGCGCCCGCGAGCGGTTTGAGAACGCCCATCGCGCCTACCAGAAGAAGTACACGGGCCACGAGGCCCAGACAAAGCACGTGAGTACTGCTACCAGCTGAACCAAATTGTATCCCCCCCCCCGCATGATGGTGACGTCTTGCGACTGATTGCTCACACCTTTTGTTTTCGCTTCTGCCAATGCTTGTCCCTCATCACCTCCGTCGACCACCTGCTCCCACCTCGTGTCAACAGGACACGGTGTTCCGTGCGCTGCAGATGCGCCTGCGCGGCATGCGTGCACGCCTTATCCCCAAGCCAAAAGCCCAGCCCTTTGGCGGCGGTGGCGGTGTTGGCGGTGGCGGTGGTGGTCTGAATCTCGGCGCGCTGTTTGCCAAGCTGAAGGTTGAGGCACAGAAGCCAAAGGACACGCCGCCGTCTGTGCCGCTGGAGCCGCAGCGCAAGGACCAGGGGTGGAAGGACATGTTTGACGACGACGACGGGCTGACGGGGCTTACACTGGAGGAGCTTGGGCAGCGCCTGGAGCAGCTGCAGGGCATGATGGCGGAGACAGGCTTCAAGCAAGACACTGCCCCACAGCAGTCGCCCTACGACGTGAGCGCCCGCAGGGTGGTAGTGGTTGGTGATGTTGGTAGCAGTGGTGGTGTGGTGGTGGTGGTGGTGGCTGTCTTGATGTTTGGGATGCAATAATTTGTCAGTGCGTACATTGCTCCTTTGCTTGGCACGTAATCGCCATTGCTTCGTTTGTTGGGTCCAGTCTGTTGGTTCAGCGTTTCACACACACACACACACACACACACACACACACACACACACATACACACATACATGATTTGTGCTGTCTCGTTGCATCAGCGCCAGCGCGGGTCCCGCCACCCAGGCCGGCCCTATCACCACCACCACCATCAGCAGCAGCAGCAGCAGCCGCAACAGCAGAAGGAGGCTGAGGAAGACGAGGAAACGGTGAGTTTGAAACAGGTTCGCTGACGTTGTCGCTGTTTCTGTTGGAGAATTGCGTTGCATGAACAACACTCGTGATGCAGCGCGTTCGTTTTCCCCCGTCCTCTCATTAAGTCGTTTGGCCGCTGTTCTGCAGGATGAGCAGGTCAAGACGCAGCTCCGCACGGAGTACCAGAAGTG